TTTTAAGTGTAGTGTGTTAATTATTTATTTTGTAACCCCTATAACCAACACTTACACAGAGGACGTGGCACCAAACATAGAGCATAAAAGACAATAAACTACGGTTTGTGTAAGTTCAGTGTATCATTATTATGTGCTTGATGGAATTATGAATAAACCAGATGTAGAGGGGTAGTAAAATATTCACAGGAAAAGCCTCGCTAACTCAGTAATCTCTAGCTTGGTAAAGTCTCACCACAGACTATCTTTGGTGTTTTCTGTTTTGTATGAATATTCAGATTTCGTAAGGAGTTTATGGTACTGCAAATCGCATATGGTAACTGTTGACTGCTGATGTGTTGAGATGACTGACTGAAAGATTGCGCCGTCTTCTCAGCATTTTGCCTCCCACCTCATAAGGTCTATTTGCAATCTATCAGTTAGGCGAACATGCAATATCGGTTATATGTTTCCTGTACAACCCATGATTTTGTGTATACTGCAACCCGTGTCTGAGTCGCTTGTTTCTAAACCGTGTTCATTGCGGCAAAATAATAAGACCAGATATCTTAATAGTGCTAATGTATCTGGCTCGCTTTTGTCTATAGTTAGAAATACATAATATTTTGACTAAAATATATATATATATATATATATATATATATATATGTGTGTTTCTATATTCAAATACCAGTGTGTGCGTGACCTTTCAGAACCATGAGAGTGTGCGTGCTGCTCCCGCCCTCGCCTCCTGTCGCGGGCCAGCTGTCAGTGCCTCTCCTCCTCTGACACCTCGCCGCCCCCGCGGCTCCCGATTCTCAAGCAGTCGACTCCCTTCAGCCTCGACTTCTTCCAGAAAGCTCTCCCTCCGTCGGGGAACTTCTTCATCTCGCCCTTCAGCGTCTGGAGCGCCCTCGTCTCGCCTACTTCGGCTCCCGCGGCAAGACGCAGGCGGAGCTGGAGCAGGTTCTGCGGCTCACCAACAGGGAGGACACGCTCGCCCTGTTCAGGGCCCTCGAACGGCGGTGAGTGGGTTGACGCGATTAAACCTACCGAGTGAACCGTTAAGAGAGGTGGTAGGTAGATGGATATGTGTACACAATGTGTACACAAAAATGAAAACAGCGACAAAAAGATATATTCGTTTCATATTGTTGCTTTATTCATTTTCATATATGTGCACACACACACACACATATGTGCGTGTGTGTGTGTATATGTGTGTGTGTATGTGTGTGCGTGTGTGTGTGTATAAAAGAGAAAAACATTATCAAGTAATAATTTCTGCTAAAATAACTAACACGATTGCAGTTATGGCTCCCAAGAAGCAAACCAGAACTACACCATCAACTCGGCTAACAGGATATACATCGACCAGTCCATTCCCGTCCGAGAATGCGTGGGAAATGTCCTCGACGACCAAGTGAAGTTAATAGACTTTAAGAAGGTAAGAAACACTTGGCTTAATTCTTATTTTCCTGCCTAACAGAAATGGGGAGACTTCATCACTGGTAATATCGCTGCATATCCAAAACTGGGATATCAGAACTCATGTAGTTACAGTTTCAAGGCTAAGTGAGGATACGAACATGTCTTTATATAAAAGCACAGAATGTAAGGAGGGTTATCTACATATCAATTTGTATTAGATTACTGCATAATGTATATACAGACAAATCTCTGTAACCTGGCATTATATTTAAATTTATGAAACATTTCCATCGAGTGGTTATGGGAATTCTCTGAGAATCCTGGCTCTCTGTCCTTTAGTACGAGAAGACAGAAATATGAGCCGAGTCACAGATAAAACCCTCTAAGCCTTAAACGAAGTGAATCATTTCAAACCTTAGATATAGTTTAAACCTCGGGCACAATGACAAAGCCTTTAAGCTCCATACAGGAGGGCAGATCTTTTTAGCAGATTTACTTTCATCTTGAGTAACAGAAAAGCCTTCTGTGATTATTTAATGTATGCAAAATTAACCAGATTCTTTTGTGCCTAAGCCATGATTTTAAAAATCTTATATGCATCTCTTTCAATCTTAGAAAAAAAAATCAAGTTTTTAACACAGATACATTTCTATAAAAGTTCTCTAAACTCCAGAGTCCGAAATAATCAAACCTGAATCTGCCATCAGCCCGACGCCGCCGCTGCTGACATCAATGCCTTCATCAACGCCGAAACGCGAGGAAAAATACCAAAGCTTATAGAACCCTCCTCTCTTGAAAACGCTAAAATGTTCTTAACTAACGCCGTCTACTTCAAAGGCTTTTGGAAATACCCGTTCAAGCCTCAAAGGACCCACAAGGACAAGTTTTTCGTAACCCCGGAAGAGTCTGTCCAAGTGGATATGATGTCGCAAACGAAAAGGTTCAAATATGGTAATGTATGGAGTTCTTCTTTATACAAAATGAACCTCCCTACCTTTCCTTGTGTCCAGTTTCCGTTGTTACATTTATTTTTCCATTTACTTTGCGTTTGTATCGATTTGTCGCAAATCAAAATCAATTTTGTGTACAT